AATCTTCAAGGCGTGAACAATGGTTGCTAACTCAAGATCATGGACATGATAGCTCTTCTCATGGGTCTTCAACTGGCGCGAGGCATAGGCAATCACCCTACCCTCCTGCATTAGAACACAACCAATACCTATCCTCGAGGCATCACAATACACGGTGTAAGAACCTGAAGCTGATGGCAGAACTAACACTGGAACTATGGTCAAAGCAGTCTCTGAAAGCTCTCCTCACACTCGTCCACCTGAATAGAGCACCCTTTTGGGTCAATTTGGTCATGGGCAATGCAATAGATGAAAATCCCTCCACAAAGTGACGGTAGTACCAACCGATAGACAGTAATCATCAAAAGTTTGAGATGAGAATTCTCCAACATTATCAAGGCGAATAGCCTTTATAGGATAATTTGGGAATTATGCCCTTATTCGAATTATTTGGACTAATAGCTTTGCAAACGTCAGGTTGCGAGATGATAGTAGGTACACATGAGACCATCTTGAAGAGACATCTATTAGGACTATAAAATATCTAAACAACCCACTTGGTAGGTAAATGGGTCCACATATATCCCCATGTATACGTTCTAAAAAGGCAGGGGATTCAATGGCAACCTTTATTGGTGATGGTCTAGTGATCATTTTGCCTTGATAACAAGCATCACAAGAAAATTTATTATTTGTAAGAATCTTCAGGCTCTTTAATGGATGCCCACTCGATTTTTTAGTAATTTGTCTTATCATTATTGATCCAGGATGGCCCAAACGGCCATGTCCAAGCACAAAAATATTTGAATCAGTAAACTTCTGGTTTACGATAGAGTGTGCTTCAACTGTACTAATCTTTGAATAGTATAAATCAGAAGATAAAGTTGGTAACTTTTCTACAATGTACTTCTGGCCCGAAACATTCTTTGTAATACAAAGATATTCCATATTCATTTCATCTATCGTCTCAACATGATACCCATTTCAGCGGATATCTATAAAACTCAATAAGTTTTTTCGGGACTTGGAGGAGAATAATGCATTGTCTATTATAAGTTTTGTTCCCTTAGACATAAATACAACAGCTCTACCAGAGCCTTCAATCAAACTTATATTACCAGAAATTGTAGAAATATTTGCTTTTTTCCTATGCAAATAAGAAAAGTATTCCTGATCTTTGAATATGGCATGAGTTGTTCCACTATCAATTACACAAATATCTTCATGATTGGTCTTTGATCCAAACATAATTTGAGGATTATCCATATTCTTCAAAATGACATAAATAAAATATATTATAATAAACATCATTATCAAAGTATAACTTTTATTTATGTACATCAATTACATAACCATATTATCTATTACAAACAACCAAAATTAAAATATTTACATTTTTACAAATTCACCACCGATCACATGACTTGTTTCTCCTTCTGGGAGTGCAAAGTAATCAGCTACATCTAAATGCATGAAGTCTAAATTATCTTTAGAAATAAAATTTGCTTCAGTATTTTTCTCTGTCTTCTTCAGGGAGGCTTGATAAAGTTCAACCAGGTGCTTAGGCGTACGACAAGTACGTGACCACTGCCCTTTTCCGCCACATCTATAGCATGCATATTTTGCATTTGTTGCTTGCACCACTTTATGCTTTTGTTCCTTCCTTTTTCACTGCGGGTGGTGAGGAAGGTTCTTTGGTGCATTATTATTACCACAATTAGAGTTTCTTCCCCGACCACGGTCATGACCATGATTGGAGCCACGACCTCTTCCACGCTTAGCTTGGTGGTAGTTTGTCTCATTCACTTCAGGGAATGGACAAGAACCAGTTGGTCGTCTTTCATAATTTTTCATTAATAGCCCATTATGTTGCTTGGCTACAAGAAGATGTGAGATAAGTTCAGAATAATTTTTTGAATCCAATCTCTCGATATTGCTGTTGCAGGAGCATATTCGAGGCATAAAAAGTAATGAAAGTTTTCTCCAACATATTATGATCAGTAATATTATCACCACATAATTTTAATTGGAAAATAATTCTGAACATAACAGAGTTATACTCACTGATAGATTTAAAATCTTGTAGCCTTAGATGAGTCCAATCATAACGTGCCTGTGGAAGAACGACCATCTTCAGGTGGTCATATCTATCTTTCAAATTATTCCACAGTATGACTAGATCTTTAACAGTAAGATATTCTATTTTCAGGCCCTCATCAAGGTGATGGCGTAGGAATATCATTGCTTTGGCACGGTCTTGGTTTGATGCCTGATTTTTGTCCTTGATGGTGTCTGCTAGACCCATCGCATCAAAATGAATTTCGGCATCAAGCACCCAAGACATGTAGCTTTTGCCCGATATATTCAGGGCTACAAATTCAAGTTTAGAAAGATTTGACATTATTTTTTAAAAAAAGTTCGTACCTCTGATACTTTCAAAGTATTTGCTTGAGATGGCAGAGTCTCGTGCTGATAACGTGTTATAAAATAAAGACTGTAAGTAAAGACAAGTACAGAAAGAAACTGATATATTATTCAAATTTCAAACTTATGTACATAATGAACTGAAAACTCCTCTATTTATAGAAGAGAGGAAGCAGATGCGAGGCTTTTCTTTAGCTGCTTGTAAGCTGTCTATATGAGCTGCTTGCAACATGCCTGCTTAATAAGAAGCTGGTGCAAATCATTTCATTGAGTTACTTGCAACCTGCCTACATTAGCTGCTTGTAGATAAACTTCAACAGAGTACTAAATGGATAATCTTTTTCAGGAAAATTATCTATAGCGGAATAATAAATGGACATCCACAATATAATATTTTCATAACAAGTGCAATATATAATCAAATAATATTTTTAAAATGAATTTTTAAAAAAAGGAAAAAATATTTATGGACAAACGGGTTTTTATAGTATTTAAAAAAGAATTCCAAAAATTAGTTTTATAGGCGATTGCTCGTCTACCGTCCGATCCCTGTTGACTTGGTGAAGATAATCGAGACTCATCATTATAAAAGGGACTCCCATTAGGGCAAACATAACAACTGTTTCAGTATCGCCGCCATCCTCCTCCTGTAAATTCCCTCTCTACCATCAGAAACACTACTTTCTTTAATCTTTTTTACCTTTGGTTCTCTTTTTGTCTTTGATTATCAGTGAGTTTTTTTTTTTAATAGAAATTGAGTGGTCATCATATCTTTGTAGTGAACTAGAAAGGGAAAGAATGATGAGATCTTTAGCATATGTGCAAACGCAGCATCGCCTGGTTAAACGTGGGTGCAGTGAGCGGCACTTTCCACACGAGATTTCTGACTCTCCCTTTCTCCTACTAAATTCGTCTGCTATTTCTTTTCTTTTTTTTCCAATTGAAAGAAAAAAAAGGATTGAACTTTGAAACTTTAGAAGAATATATGTGGTTGAACTTGAAAAACAAAAAAATTCTGTCCAGAAATGGGACCTGTTTGTCAGTTGGCCAATTTATTTGGCGTAATTTTTAATACCGATAGTTTTCGGGCCAGTTTAATTAGTTGAGTACTTGTTATCCATCAAAACATAGACAAATAACAAAAATCACTTGATGTTAATATCGATTAACTTTATTGACTTAACACATTCCTTGGTGCATATGCGGTTCAAATTAAATAGCAACCTCTAGGTCTTAATCTCATGGATATTTAGAGAGCAAAGTAATTAAAATGGTAGATGATTTCTAGTTTCAATGGAGAAAAGAGAAGGACCAAGCTTTGCTACTACATTTGGATGATTGATTGATTTGTTGAATCCATAATCATAGTAACACTAACTGTTTAGAAGAAAAAAATTAATAATGGAACCTCCTAAGAAGAAGAAAAACACAAGTCAGTTCTTACAATGCCTCAATATCTTCTTTGTCAATAAAAAGATCATAAATGTGCCAACCGTTTGTACAACGAACAATTTTTAAGCAAAGTTGTATTTTAGGACTCAAAGCCTAAACTTATTATATCCACAATTTCAGCATGATCTATCAAACAAAATGATATAATAAGCACTTGTACTTGTGTATGGGCCTTAATAGCTGGCCAAACTTCTCTAATCCTAGAAGTATTTTTTTTTTTCAAAGTTGAAATATTTGGCCAAGCTTTTGGAAGAAAAAAAAGTGATTTTGAGAAGCAGAAGCATACTAATTGATGTTCAGAAATGTTTTTCAAATTAATTAGTCAAACACAAACTGCTTCTCACCAAAAGTATTTTTGAGAAAAACACTTTTGAAAAAAAACACTTCTCAAAATAAGCTGATTTTTGTAACTTGGCCAAACAGGCTCTTAGCTTTAATGAAATTAAAATACAAGTAAGCAATCAACGAAATCTATATTGGGATATTGTGCTTTAAAAGTTTAATAATGGTATTGCATGAAAAAGAACAGTTTAATGGAAAATTAGTAGCATAAAGGAAGTTTACGAGGTTCAAATCTAATACTTTGCTCCTAACAGTATTTCGCAAATCTAATGCATTTGACGAAATGAATAAATGTAGACAATATTCAAAAGTTAAGAGGTAAATTTGACCCCTTTTTCCTCCTCCTATTCCATAATATATCTCTATTACTAACCAAGGCAGGTGATTCTACACCTTCGGCATAAAGAATGAAAAGGGTATCTCTAATATCCTTAATAGATTTTTTCTACAATGTTGGAAATGAAATGATAAAATTAGAACTTGTATTCCAGAAAAGGTTCTCCTGGAAAATAAAAGCTAAAGAATGTTTTGGCAAGAAGCTATAACTTAAAGATTCATCTATGAAACTGAGTCTATGCAATACATTCAAGAATCACTGCACTTCACATTGAACTGCAAGGGCCTCTACTATGATCTTTATAGTTCTACAAAGTTTACACTAAACCATAGTGATTAGCAAACGGATTGTTACCCGATAATAAAAAATCCTACCAGTTCATAGCATCGAATATGATATATGGCACGAGAAAATGTTACAGTTAAAAGAATATAGGCATCCAAAATGATGACAAAAAATACAATAGTTATAGAACAAAACACCAGAATCCAATTTCACTTCTTTTAGAATGGCAACAGTGGAACAAAAGTCCTTAAATTACTGATGAAAAAACATTTCCGTGTGATATCCCTTATTGAGAAGGGGATATAACTTATGACAACTAATCTTATCTTCTGTTGGGATTACAAATATTGGAACTCCACCCCTCCCCCCTTCTTCCAACTCCCAAGCAACAAATCCCAAAATGTATCAAAAAAGAATCAAGAAACACTTTGCAAAACAAATATCAATGTGTCTGCTACCTGCCTTTTAATCTATACACAACCACCAGAGCTCTTCCTCATATTCATTGATGATCAAAACAATAGTGTTAGGGGTTGAACTTCTTCCCCTATTTGAACATTTCGTTCGCATATACACTCGAGCCATTTATCGTGTCCAATTTCTTGATCTTACTCGCAATCCAACCCACATACTTCTAACACGAGTCCATCTCTTGACACGAATGGATTGATTCGGACCCACAACAACGAAAGGATAGAAGCTAGAAGGATAGACCACACAACGATGATAGTTGGAACATTGCTTTGTTTCCCCATCAAACCTTTGAGGAAGGGGTACAAATGAACAATGACCCATAAGGCGAAGAAAAGCTTGCCGAATAAAGGACCCCACGAATCATATCCGTTGTTGATTGCATCTGAAACTCCAACTACAACTCCTATGATGTTGATAATTAACAAGGTCATCGGAACAATCAACAAGGATGTCCACTTGAAGAGGTAAAGCTCAGAAAACTCCCCGTCATCTGCTGCTTTTGATGTGACAGTGAAGTTTGTGTTGACACCAGCCAAAACTTTAAGAAGACCTTGTATAAGAGCAAAAAAGTGGGACGAGACACCACCAATAACCCAGAATTGCTCATTTCTCCACATGTCATCTATGCCAACATCTCCCCACCGTATCTCCAGAATAGTGGTCGCAGCAATTGATATAAAAAGTGCCATGAACACAATGCTGGCATAGTTGCTAAGCTGCAGACAGCAAAGAATAGTCAGCAAAAATACATTAGATGAGTTTATGACGTTTTATTTTGGTTCTATCCTGTTATTAAAATTTTATAGGAACTGAAGATAGTGAAATTTCAAGTACGCGGCCAGTCGGCCACAATACACAGACACCAGAAATTGGAATCATGGTTTAAATGACAGACTGAATAGCATGCGAATATGGGGGGTGGGAAGGAAAATGTTTTTTTGTTTTCTTAATAANGAAGGAAAATTTTTTTTTTTTTTTTTTCTTATTAAGATTAACAAAACAATAGCCAACGGTTGTCATGCTGTTTCTTGAAAGAACTCTCCCAGTTTGGGATTTAGTAATTTGTGCATCTCACACATCAAAAGAAATATAGCACTTCACATAAGATGCTATTTTGCTAGAAATCAATTAAGGGAATTCAAACATTCGATATGCATGGATTTTTTCAGAACAGAGGTTTATGCGACACAGAACTTAAAATACACAATTGATGCAACATGACCAAATGAATAACAACGAAACAATGAAGGGGAAGCCCTACCTCTGGAACGATGAATTTCCCAGTAAGCAAACAGAATGCTGGCAATGTACAATATGCAATCAGAGGGATGGAAGTCAATGGATAGACAACTGAATTTATGTATGAAAACCGCTCCAATGGTTTCAGACCACACCCATATCCATACCAAATGGGACAATGTCTACTAAAGAAAATCTCAACAGATCCCAAGGCCCACCGCAGAACCTGATGCAGACGATCTGAAAGATTGATAGGAGCTGACCCCTTAAATGCAGGCCTTTTCGGCATGCAGTACACAGACCTCCAACCATGGCAGTGCATCTTGAACCCAGTTAAGATATCCTCAGTAACAGATCCATAAATCCATCCAACCTGGTAAACATGGTATAAATTAATAAGTGAGCCCACCAAATGCAGAATGCATCTCGAGCTTAAAACAAATTTAAGAAACTAAGCAGTTCTTTTACCTCTTTACCCCATTCTGTTTTGTCTTCATAACCACAGCTAATAACATGGATGGCTTCTTTCAGGAGAGATGCTGAGGTTGCTCCTAGAGGAACACCGCCATCTTCTAAAAGTGTTGAAGCAACAAATACTGGTGATTGTCCAAATTTCTTCTCGAGTTTTATTTGGGGCATGAGTAATGCTTTTTCATTATCTATTCCTGTATCAAATGAGTTGGTTAGCATAGATTTATATCTAAAAAAGCTCTAGCATAAGAAAGGGAAGAACGTGCTGTGGAAAATAAAGAGGAAATTATTCTGTAATGAATATATGTGCAAGTAGAAAATAAATCCAAATTCAACTAATAAATCCAAATTCAACTATCTATTTAAGACTTAAGGCTAGATATTGGTCAGCGGTTGCATCTCAAAGTTCCTTTTTCTTACCTTCAATTCCTTCCTCAATATTCTCAAGGGCATGAATCTGAGTCGAAGCATCCTTGCCTTTTATCTTCTTTTTATCCTTGCTCGTTTTCCCTTTCTTATGCTTCTTTCGAGATTTACAACAAAAGCAACACCAGTTCGGCCAACAATTGCACGTTTTCCCTGGAGGTTTTGCCTTCTTTGGAGCATCATATCCATAAAGTGCTTGCCTCCTGAAGACGCATCCCGTTCCCACATAAATCGGACCCTGGATCCCATCAAGTCCTTTCATATTTATCTGTTCCCAAAAAGCATAAAATTATCTTCAGTAAGGTAGCTGAGGGTGCATATCATATCCATATGCACAAGCAAAAACAGATAACAAGATATGGATCTGTGCAAAATTACATAAGTCATAAATAACTAAAGAAGGCATTCTTACGCACATCAAAGAAGACCACATTGCGGTTTGAGTATCTATCATGTCGATCAATGCCATCAAATCTTTGAGGAAATTGTACATAGCATATTTTCTTTCCTGAAGTGGGGTCCATCATAAAGCACATAGCTTCTCGCAGTGCCTTACTGTTATTTATATAGTGATCACAATCCACGTTGAGTAAATAAGGAGCATTTGAGATGACCGCTGACACCCGCATCTACAATCACATTTTATAAAGTGGGTCAATAGCCACTAGATTAAGTCTAATGCTGTACTTTTAGAAAAAGATGGAAGATGACTTACCAAAGCATTCATGGCACCGGCCTTTTTGTGGTGATCAAACCCTGGCCTCTTCTCACGAGAAACATAAACAAGGCGAGGCAGAACTTTCCCTTCAATATCACGGACACCATCATGACCCAGGAAGACCTTTGTACAGAAATGAAACAGGTTAGTTCACAATTTTAACATCGTAAATTTGGAGAATGAAGAGAGCAAAAGCAAAACCTGGATCATCCCGGGGTGATCCCTGACATTATTCCCCGGCCAAGGGGTTCCATCTTGCATGGTCCAACCATCCTCAGGAACCTTTTGTGCCATGGAAACCAATCCATTTATTCGAACCTTAAATTCTTCATAGTCTCTCTGCGCCAAAAATGTTACCAAGTTTATGTCTTCAGCAATAGTTATTAACAATCATATCAACACACCTGGGAAATCGAGGATGCGGAATGAAAATTTGAATAAACAGCGCACCTTCATGGCACGGCGTTCCCTCACAAATGATGGATTTACTTTGTTCTTCAAATAATCAACCTTCTCAGCAAAATACCACTCGGGGGCTCGAGGCTCTATGCTAAATTTCTTGCAGAATGGGACCCATTTCCTTGCAAACTCAGATGTCTCAGATAGTGCCTCAAAAGTAAGCATGGCAGCACCATCATCAGAGACATAGCATGCGACCTTGTCCACCGGATAATCCACAGCAAGAATAGAGAGAACAGTATTTGCAGTAATAAGTGGAGGCTCTTTTAATGGATCCACAGTACTAACAAAAACGTCGATATGGGCTAACTCAGAAGGCTTCCCTTCTTTCTCATACCTGAGAAAAATATATGGAAGAGAATAGGTTAGGACACAATTGAGGGGTAAGAATCATAGATATTGATGTGTACATAGACATAAAATGTATAGTAAATTATACATTGTATGTCTTAAAAAAATGTATACCTTAGTGACAGCCTATCTAGGTACGTCTCTCGCTTAATAGGTAACCATTTTGGGAACTGATCGAATATCCAGGATACGGCAAACCATATTTCACATATAATAGACACCAGCCACAATCCATAAGCACCATGGACAGGGTGCATTATTCTATAGTGGAAAAAGAGCCCAAGAATTGCAAGTCGAAGTAAAATCATTAATCTGTATGGGCTTAGCTTGCTAGAGGAAATAGGCATCTTTCTTGAAAGTGGTTGTCTACCTTCGTCCATCCTGCAAGATGGTTAAGGGAACAGAGATAAATCTCAAGATTTCGAAATACATTCAAATAAAGCACCAAACAACATTTAGAATAAATAAGGTCCTCACTGGAACACCTGAACATGTAGTACACACAAAACAATTAAGAGAAAACAAAGAGATTGAGAGAGAGAGAGAGAGAGAGGGAGGATGTGCTTTGTGCCTACTTCAGAGGACTCCAGTGGATAGTGAATCTACACTTCTCTAAGATATTATACCCGACAGCACATATACTGAATAACTTTGGCCACCACAGCTTAGGCAAATGGAAAGAAAACACATATCATCTATGTTGCTCGGACTCTCCGAAAATATTGATGGGTGCGTGTCGGATCCTCGAAAAATAGCCGACACGGTTGCGACAGTTGTTTTGGAGAGTCCGTGCAACATAGCATATCGTTTATCCTGATCTCTCATGACCTTATTAGTGGTATCATCAGTTTCCAGTTTTTACTAATTTTTAGAGCATCATATGAACCATACATAATGATGATTTGAACTCCCTTACTAGTCTCGGTGTAAAATAAAGGAGAGTGTATCGAACTAGCAGAATTTGTTTCTAATGATATTTTACCCCC